ATTGAGTGGCCATCATGGTACCACCCTTGCTTGTCCCTGGGAATCCCTACCACACGGCAGGGCTCCCTCCACCCTACCAGGGTCTCAGATCCCCCCACATCCTGTTTGGGAAGGGAGATGGCTGGGTCAGTCCCCTTCCCTGGGGAAATGGTGGCTAAGGCTGGGTCTGAAACCACATTCCCACTTCGAGGCCATTCGAAGCCCCCTTCTTTGTCAGAAGGTCACAAGTTCCTAGGACTCCTAAGTGGCAGACACTGGGCTTTCAGGGCCCAGCCCCCGAGAGCTGGAAGTCTCCAGGGTCCAAGAGCAGGGTCTTCCAGGAAAGCAGAGAGAAGTCCCCCTTGGAGGTGGAATGTGGCTGCCCTCCTGCTGGAGAGAGAAGAAAGGTGAGGGGTCAGCAGGGCCGGGGTGGGTGTTGGTGGGGGGTTATTGAAGCAGCTGAGGGAGAGGGCAGAAGGGTACTCACTTTGTGCAGACACACAGCCGCGCCTCTTCTCCCCTGCAACAGAGCACAGTGAGGCCACCATGTGGCTAGACCCTCACTCCCCAAGCTTCCCTTCCCACCAGGCCCTGGCGTGGGCCATTCCCCTTCCCAGTCCAGCTTTCCCTTCTCCTAAACACTGACTTCTGAGTTTCTTTCCTCTTCCGGACCCTGGAAAATCTCCTCCGATTGCTGACCCATCGTGGCTCCTGGCCTGGCCCCTATCGCTCCTCCATCTGTCCCGGCCTCAGCACTGAGGGACAGCATGGACGTGTCCTGTCAACTGCATTAAGCCCAGGGAACTCCTGAGATCTGAAGCAGCACCCCTGTCATTTTCTTCTGCTTATCAACCTCCTTAACCAGGTTCTTGTGGTCAGTTAGACTGTACAGCAGATGGAACATTTTGAGAACATTACATAACCACTCGAGAATTTCATAGACCCAGAAAACTAAGACCTTCTAAGAACTGGCTGAACCTGTCACAGAGAACAGTAATTCCGGCTGACTTCCAGCCCTCAACTCCCCCATTAACCAAGCAGGTGTCCAGAAGGGGCGTCCCCGCTTACTCCCCCCACCCCACGGTCCTGCCTCCCTCATGCACAGCTCACCACCCAGGTAGGCGCAGTTAAAGTGGCTGCAGGTCTGATTATAGCTCCAGAGAGTCACCAGGCTCTGGGCTCCATCTTGCGAGAACCTGGTGACCAAGAAGACTTCATGTGGGGGGATCAGCACCTCGCGCTCCTCAGGAAAGACAGACAAGGACTGGATCGGGGCCCCAAAGCAAGTCCTTAGTGAGAAGAAGGTGGCATTACCAAATCTGCGGGCCACTGCCTCATCCAGGGAGCTGGAAGCAAACTGGCCCAAGCGGACAGAGTCCCCCAGTCTCCTGGGTTCAAAGTGGAGGGTGCCCACACCTCGGAACACCACCTCCCCAGGTCCCTTGCTGCAGCCCCCACTGCCCCGCAGCAGCTGCAGGGCCCGGGTGAGGTAGAAATGCAGGGCCTTGAAGGGAAAGTGCCTCATGTAGAACTCCCTGGAGCTGCCGCCTGTCCGCACCGCCTGGTTCAGCTCCCAGTACAAGGTGTTAGATGAGTTGGTGTAGACCATGATGGCGATTCCGTGCTGGGCTCTGAAGCCAGGGGGCAGGGTGAGCCGATGGCGCTTGTGCTCCCAGGCCTCCCGGGCTGCTTCCCAGGATTCCCGCAGCAGGGCGTGGCGGGCCATCTCCTCCTTCAGCAGGGGGGCTGCTTTCTCTTCCATCTCCTCTGCGCAGCCCACATACGCATCGTCGAAGGTGTCTGGAGCCAGGCCCAGGGGCAGGATGGGAACAGCCTGGGCCTGTGGATGTAGGAAAGAGAGGGGCCACATAGGAAAGGGGAGATGTTCAGAGCACTGGACAGGGGCCATGGTGGCAGATCAGTCCAGAAACAGTATCTCGTTTCTAGGACCAAATATCTAGTGTATGCAATTTGGCAAGAGCTCAAGGGCTTAAATAGCACAGCCACTGGAGGGAGACAGATGTGGGTTCAAATCATGACTTCCCCATCCCAGCTGTGGGATCTTGGGCCAGTTTCTTAACTTTTCTGAGTTTCAGGTTCTCCACGTATAAACTGAGGATACTTCCAAACTCACAGGGATATTGTGAGGACGGCATACAGATCTTCACTTCTGTACAACGTGAAGGGGTCATTTTGTCATTAGCAAAGTTCTGCACCTGGTAGGAAGTGGGGCTAGATGACTTCCAAGCACTATTCTGGCTCTAACAATCAGGATGCAGGTGATAGACAAATATACAGCCAATGTCCAATGACCTAACCTGGTCCCCATCCTTAGGTTCTCTTCCCCCTTCATGCCACCACATGAGGACACTGTCAGCTCTGATACTCCTGAGTCCTCTCCTGCTTTAGAAGCCCATATTCCAAAACATGCTTTGGGGTGTTGGGGTGGAGGAGGTCAAGCCCTGGTCTGGGAAGGGCTGCAGGAGGGCAGCACACAGGGAGCCCGAGAGGCTTTGCCTGGGCTGAGCCTGTGGTGGCAGACAGTATATGAAGGAAGGAAGATCCTCATAGGACCAGTGGGTGGAGGTGGAGGTTCTGGGAGAGAGAATGAGAATGGAGGTTCCTGAGAAGAAGAGGATTAAGAGCACTAGGATCCTAGAGAAGAGTATCTGGGAGAGCTTTTTGAGGCGTCAGCCCCCCAGTCCACCTCTTTTGGGTCTGCCCCTGACCTGTTCCTTTTGTGGCAGGAGTAGGTTCTCCCAGTTACCTGCCAGAGGGAATGGAGGCCGAGGTAGCTGAGAGCCAGCAGCAGAGCCGCCAGCATCATTCCTGGGGGCGACTCAGGAGGGCGAGGTCCAGATGAAGAGGGCACCACTGGCGATGGGCTGGGAGACAGAGATCGGGGTCCCTTCCTCTGGGGTGTGAAGGGTCTCCGTCCTGGATCCGGCCCAAGACGCTGTGGGCGGGGCCGAGGGCGGGCCTAAGGGAGTGGGCGTGGTCTTAGATTTCACTGTGTACCCCGCACAACCCCAGGGCTTCGCTCCCCAGATTCCCACTAGCCCCCACGCTCAGCGTCTTCTGCCCGGGGACCCTTGCGATAGTAAACGCGGAGCCATAATTTGGCTCCGCCTGCAGAAAGGAGGGGAAGGAGAGCCAGGGACCCACCTGGAAGTTGCAGGGGCGACAGCGGGAAGGAACACTGACCGCTCGGGCCGGCGGGGGGCTTAAGTCCCGGCGGGTGCTGCGCTGTCCCGGGAGTCTAGCGGATCAACAAAGTCCCGCGGCTAACTATAGCCCCCGCGGCGGTAACCCGACACCTCTCTTCTGCAACAACGGACAAGGGGTGGGGAAGCGGGAGTGGCGCGGGAAGGGGCCGAGGGGCGTACCTCCCCTTCCCTAGGACTGCGAATTCTTTCTCCAGAATCCGCTTTGGCTCCAAGCGAATGAGACCGGGTTTGGGGGAGGGACCTGCGAGACTTGGCCTCTCAGGTGGTCCCCGACCTGGCGGAGCCCCAGCTCTCAGCCCACTAGACGGGGGAGGCCCACGAGGGTCCCGCCCACCAAGAACTGTCTGCTGGTGCGCTCGCTGATTTGCATGCAATTTGCATATGGCCCACTCATGGGGGGCACGCGTGATCCAGCACCTGAGCGGCACCCGCCCTCCCCCTTCCATTCAGTAGGGTTGGACCAGCTCTCTGTCTCACACCCTGAGGGGCCAGCCCCTCTCCCTCCACAGACCCTCTCTCTGTGGACCTCTTAGACCCAGGTGACCCCATGTTTATAAACACTAGCTTTTCCCCTCCCCTGCTGTGGGTCTGTCTATAAATAACCTGGCTCTGAGTTTTGGATACCCAATCAGAGGTAACGGGAGAAGGGACCAGCTGAGAAATCAGTAAGCAGCTCTGGGGACAGACAGCTTTCTGGCAGCTTGAGCCCTGGGGGTGGGAGGGTTACTCCCTCAGGGGAGTTGGGGTCCCAAATGTCAGGATTTAAGAGATGTTTCCTGCTGCTTGCTGGGGCTGAGGTGAGCACAGAAAGTTAGACTGACTTCAGGGCCTCCATCCTGGTTTGGCTCATTCATTTAGCCCCATTCCCATTGCCCCGTTCCCTCAGGCTGCCAGCCAAATAAAGAATTTCCTTCCTCTAGAATCCTGCTTTCTCCAAAAATCCTTCCTATATACCAAAAAAGACACACTGTGTGCCTGGGCTTGGAGAAGTGTGGGGAGGGAGATGGGAAAAATATCATCCCCCCCAAACCAGAGAACTTGTCAGGGAAACACAGCCTCTAGACAAGTACTCTTGTCCTCTTCCAATGAGATGGGCCGTCCCAAAGATCACCTAGATCAGAATATCCATCCCTCTATTGTTCACCATTACTGTGAAAAACCACATCTTGACTGTTTATCCTGACTGCCTCTCATCCTGGAGGGCCCAGAGCACCTGCAGCTGTTGGAACAGAAGATACCGCCTGGGACAGCCAGGTCTGCTGAGACATGGCCCTGGTACCAGCTCCACTGGGATGAGGGTTTTGTCCTCTCCCCACATGGAGGTGCTTCTCCCATCCCCAAATGTGGAACTCCAAGGAAGGCCCCAAAGGATGCAGTCAAATTTTGTCACGGAGCCAGGGTCCTGAGTGAGGCAGAAATCCTCCAAGATCACAGAGCAAATCAGTGCTGGCCAGACCCAGCCTCCTGAATCTGGGAATTCCTTCTTGCACATTAGAGAGTCTCCATGCTCACATAATAGGAACACAAAGTAAGGAGATACTGAGGACAGGCTAAACCCAGTGTGGAGGTGGTTGTTCCAGCCAGGGTCCTCGATGCCTCAGGCCACCTTCTCTCTAGCCCCAGGGGTTCCTTTCTTTATGGGAGTGCACTGGCCCAAGGCAGACTGGGCAGAGGCTAGTGTTCCCAAGCCTTCAGGAGACATCCAGAAATAGATGGGGGAGTGTCACATTTCTGAGCAGCTGTGTGGGTACAAGCGGTGGGGGACTGACAGTATAAAGGAGAAACCTGCCTTCCCCCTGTCCTGGTGGTCATAACTGGAGAGCGACACCAGCTTCCCTGGAGAAGGCCTAGGTAAGGGGCACACCACCCTCTTCCTGGGTACAGGGCAGGGAAAGACTTTTTTTAAAGGGGAAATTTGGGGTATTGATGATGGAGTTCTAGGAGTCAATAACAACAGTTTCAGGGCAACTTTTATCTTACTCTGTTCAGGCTGCTATGAAATACCACAGACTGGGTAACTTATAAACAACAGACAATTATTTCTCATAGTTCTGGAGGCTGAAGGTCTGAGATCGGAGTGCCAGCATGATCAGGTGAAGGCCCTCTTTCTGGCTTATAGCTGACACCTTCTCATGATGTCCTCACATGGTGGAAGGGGCTAGGGAACTCTGTGGGGTCTCTTTTATGAGAACAGTAATCCCAGAGCCCTCATGAACTAATTATGTCCTAAAGGCCCCACCTTCTAAAGCCATCACAGGAGGCATTAGGATTTCAACATATGAACTTTGTAGGGACACAAACATTCAGACCATAGCACCTTTGAAGGAGAGTTCTAGGATACCTGGAGGGTTTGGAGTCTTTGGGAAATTGGGGGGTTCCTGGGGAAGGGATTTGGAGTCACATCCCTAGAAGGGAATGTTCAGTGAGGGTCTGGATGAGGAGAAACTGTGCCCTGAGCAGGATGAGAGGAAAAACAGAGGGTGGGTAAGATATAAGGGATGACCCAGCGCCTCCATCTCCTCCCCTCCCATAACCACCCCATTGCTCTGGCCCCACCTCATTCCCCCCAACACTGCTCACCAAAGTCATCAATCTACCTGTTCTGCAGTGGTCTACACTGTTAGCTGCAACCTGAAAGCAGACTCAGCAAACATTCCAGGAAGCCTCATCTGTGCCCAGCTTGGGCTGAGCTCTGGGGACATGGCACAGGTCATACCCAGTCCCTGTCCTCAAGGAACTCACAGGCCAGGAGGGGAGACAGACACATCAGGGCAGCACAGTATGATTAGGACCGTGAGTGAGAAAGCACACGGTGACTGAAGAGCACAGAGAAGCCGGAGAGCTCCCTGGAGAAGATAACCCCTGAGCTGAGTCTTGAAAAGTGGAAAGCAGGATGGCAATGTGTGCAGAGCCACAGGGAAGGAAGCAGTGGGGCCTCACCTGCAGCTTTGTTCTGTTCTGTAGAAGCCAAGCAGGGGGCTGGGGCACAAGGCTGAAGAGGTCATGGAGGGCTAGGTCACAGGGCACCCTAAATGCCAGCATGAGGAGGGCTCTGTCCTAAGGGCATGGAGGGGAGTTGTGTTTTGTTGCCTTTTTTTTTTTCCTTTCTAGATGTGTTCTCATCTTTTCCCTCATAATTTTCATCTCAGCATTTTTACTCTGTATGCCAAGGTATTGCTTCCAGTCAGGTTTAGCACAGAGGGTTTTAAGCAGGTAAGCAACCTGACCAGTGGGGCTTTAGAAACACCTGCTCTGTGGAGGGTGGGTCAGCAGGGGTTACAGTGGAGACTGGGGCGGGGGAGGGGGAGAGGTAGGGGTAGACTGAGCCATGAAAGGGACGGGGAAAGGGAAGAAGCTTCTAGGCTGGATCCATATTGTGATCAGCATTAGTTGGCAACTAATTTAGTGTTTGATGAATGTTCGAATGTGTTTGATGAAGTGACCGTCTTGGGTGACTGGGTGAAAAAGGGGGACAGTATATTACATGAGACTCTTCCGAAGACAAGTCTACAGGAATCATCACAAGCTAGATGAAGCCTAAAGAGGAATTATCACAGGGCGGCTGGGTGGCTCAGTCATTAAGCATCTACCTTCGGCTCAGGTCATGATCCCAGGGTCTTGGAATCTAGCCCTGCATCAGGCTCCCTGCTCAGCAGGAAGCCTGCTTTTCCCCTCCCACTCCTCCTGCTTGTGTTCCCCCTCTCGCTAGGTCTCTCTCTGTCAAATAATAAATAAAATCTTAAAAAAAAAAAAAGAGCAATTATCACAAGGGTACCAAGGTATTTCATGGGACCCAAGTGAAGAGCTTCTAGAAACCCAAGGTGTCTCAGTCCACCTGTGCTTTGGCTTCAAGCAGCCCTCTCTTTGCTTCTTGGTCCTCTTTTTCTTCTTTCTCTGGCGTTCTCATGTCTTCTCAGACTTAAATACACCCATCACACAAATGTCTCATCTTATTATCCATTCTTCTATCTTTTGGACATCTGCCCCTTAAGAATCCACATGTGCCGGGGCGCCTGGGTGGCTCAGTGGGTTAAGCCGCTGCCTTCGGCTCAGGTCATGATCCCAGGTCCTGGGTTCAAGCCCCACATTGGGCTTTCTGCTCAGCAGGGAGCCTGCTTCCTCCTCTCTCTCTGCCTGCCTCTCTGCCTACTTGTGATTTCTCTCTGTCAAATAAATAAATAAAATCTTTAAAAAAAAAAAAAAGAATCCACATGTGCCAAACTGAACTCACTGTTTCCCCTCCAAATCTAATGGTTCATTCATTTTTTTGTTGAGCACCTATCATGTGCTGGGATGGGCCTGGGCAAGATGAGCTTTTAAAGTCCACTCTGTTCCTCCTATGTGTTGGCAGCCTAGAGCATGAAAACCTGCACGTCATTCTTGGTTTTTCCCTCTGTCACATCTCCTGTGTCCCATCAGACACCAAGTCTATTAAATTATACCTAGTGGTTCTGGGTTCATCCTCACTGCCGGTATCTTAGGCCACACAATTCAATGTCCTCAGTCTGATATCAGAAGCCAGACTTCCCTATCTCAAGCCTCTGAGCTCTCTCTCTCTTTTTTTGAAAAAAAAAAAAAAAAAAAAAAAAAGACAATAAAAACCAAAACCAGCCTGTGTACAGAAAGCTATGTGTGTATGCATATTAAATTATTTGCATGTGCACCAAAAATGGTCCTAAAGCACACTATTATCACGGTAACAGCCGGCACCGTAGGAGTGAGAGAGGACACAGAGAGAGAAAGAAGACTGGAGTTTGGACTCTGATTCATTCATACTTTTTTCTTTTCACTATGAGCAGGCATTAACTTCATAACGAAAGAAACAAAGAAGTAGCTGCACTGATTTAGAAACTGCTGGGACTCTGCCTTCTTGGAGCCTCACTTCCCACTCCATCCTCTCACCATCTACAGGACCCCTCACCCCCTGGGGGTCTACACCTGTCCCTGCTCAGGAAGCAGTTGAGAGCTTAAGGAAGGAGGGCTCAGTACGCAGCAGGACTTCGGGAGGGGAGATGGCTGGATCCTGTCCCTGGAATACCTCCATGGCCCCACCAGCTGGCCTGTCCTGGACCTGTTCCAGCCTCACATCCCCCATGGGGTGAAGCCCAGACCTCTTACTGGGGCAGCCAAGACCTTTCACGACTGGCCGCAGTCTTGCCAACACTCCCTCACTGCAAGCTCTGCCATACTGGACAAAATGTCCTTCACTTTTTACATCCAATACCTTTGCTCTTCTCATTTCTGCTGCCCTAGATGCCTTTCCCACCCCAAATCCCACTCCTCTCCCAGTCTCCACTGATTGAAGGCTTATTCTCCTATTCTCCCTGTAAGACCCTGTTCAGATAACAACTTCTCCAGGAAGTCTCCCATGTTCCTGCCAGCAAGAATGGTCCTCTCTTTCTCTCCTGAGCCTTCATTTCTTTCTTTTCTTAAAGATTATTTATTTATTTGATAGCGAGAGAGCACAAGTGGGGGTGAGGGGCAGAAGGAGAAGCAGACTCCCCACTAAGCAGGGAGCCTGATGAGGGGCTCCATCCCAAGACCCTGTGAGCATGACCTGAGCCGAAGGCAGACACTTAACCGACTGAGCCACCTAGACGCCCCGAGCCCTCATATCTATGTTGTGACTCTATGCCAACCACTGCGAGTGATACAGACTAGGTGCCCATTAATGTTTTTTCATCTGTACAGATTAACATTCTCATTTTCTAGATGAAGAAACTGAGACCCAAAGAGAGACAGTAACTTGTCCAGGGCTACCTCCAACATGCAGACCCCTGCCATGCTGTGTCTGCTGCTTGTGTGCACGGGCCTCCTGGAAGCGCTGCAGGTATGGTCATCCCCCACTGTGTCCATGTCACTGGGAGCTGCACTGCGGGCTTCCTCTGAACTCTGGCGGGGGGTGGGGAGTGGGGAGTCGTGGGAGGAGAGAACAACTGATATTTCCAGTGGGGCTCGCCCGGCCTGAGGGGACAGCCTCAGACCCTGGTGTCTGAGAGAGGGCAGCTAGTTGTTCCCAATCCCTTTTCCCTCAAGGTGGGTTTGGGGCCATCAGTGTCCTTCTCTTCTCAGTGGAGAAATGTGATGACGGGCTCCCATCTCCTGAGGCTCATCCTCTCAGTCCTTATTGCTCCCTCTCTGCCAGGCCCAGAGCCACCCCATCTCTCGACGAGACCTGTTCTCTCAAGAACTGCCCCTGGACATAGCCCCAGCCTCCTTTGATGACCAGTATGAAGGCTGTGCAGCAGCCATGACAGCAGCTCTCCCAGATCTCAACCAAACTGAGTTCCAGGCCAACAAAGTGTACGCGGATGGCTGGGTGCAGGCAAGCAGCCAATGGCAGGACCGCCAGGCCTGGGGGCCAGAGTGGGTCCTGAACCCTACTGGGTTGCCCCCGCCACCCCCTGGCTTCCGCGATGAGCATGGGGTGGCCCTCCTGGCCTACACCGCCAACAGCCCCCTGCACAAGCAGTTCAATGCCGCCGTGCGTGAGGCAGGCCGCTCCAGAGCCTACTACCTCCACCACTTCTCCTTCAAGACACTCCATTTCCTGCTGACCGAAGCCGTACAGCTGCTGGGCAGGGGCCAGCGTTCGCCCCAGTGCCACCAAGTGTTCCGAGGGGTGCACGGCCTGCGCTTCCGGCCGGCGGGGCCTGGGGCAACCGTCAGGCTGGGGGGTTTTGCCTCCGCGTCCCTAAAGAATGTTGCAGCCCAGCAATTTGGGGAGGACACCTTCTTTGGCATCTGGACCTGCCTTGGGGCACCTATCAAGGGCTACTCCTTCTTCCCTGGGGAGGAGGAGGTGCTGATCCCCCCCTTCGAGACCTTCCAGGTGATCAACGCCAGCAGACCAGCCCAGGGCCCCGCCCGCATCTACCTCCGGGCCCTGGGCAAGCATAGCACCTACAACTGCGAGTACATCAAAGGTAGGCAGGCACGCGCCAGGCCGCACCTGGGCACAAGACAGGCTTGCCCCCCCAGGCTCAGGGGACATGTACATAAGTACCACAATCAAATGAACAGTGAGGGGGACCCAGTCCTGTCCCTCTCCCCACCACCCCCATCCTGTGCAGCTAAGGGAAGACAAGCTTCTGAGGTAGTGTGCCACTTGCCCTTGGAGGTACCTAAGCCAGGGCTGGCCACTTGCCCACAGGGAGGCTGAAGAGGGTTTCCAGACCGAGGCAGGTAGCCATTTGAGGGCCAAATGGAACTGGTCAGGCTTTTCTTCCAGCTGGAAACTGGAAGGCAATTAATTTCTGGCCACAGCGCTGACACCCAGACCACTGTTGCCAGGTATGAGGAAGAGCCCCAAACTCAGTTTCTGAGAGGAGCGTGTGTGTTCAGCTGAATGGAAACCCTGTGCTGTTGTGTGGACTGGGTGGGGGTGCAGGCGGGATGCCGAGACAGCAGTTGGGTTCCGTAGTCCCAGCTCAGTCTGTTGATCCCCCAGGACCCACCAGAGGTAGAATCATGAGGACAGGCCCAGGTTCCTAATCTCTGAAGGGGCTGTGGGCTGCTGGTCCTGGCTGAGTGATGCCTGGGGCCTTGTGAGGCCCACTTTGCATCATTAGAGCCAAGTTGTTGGCTGAACTGTGGACCACATGTAAAATGGGAGAAGGTCCAGTATGGCTTCCGTTCCCACCAGGGACAGTATCATGGGTGTGCATGAGTTGATGGAAGGTGAGGAAGACATGAAAAGTACATGAACTAGTGCCTCCTTGGCTGGGACACAGCCTGGGAGAGGTGGTCACACAGGGAGGCAAAGTTACAGGCCAGAGAAGCAGGAAGAGCACCCAGAAGAGACCCTGGCTTTGAGGGCTGGCTCCCTTCTAGCTCTGCTGCTCATGGGTCAAGTCAAACACAGGTAAAGGAGGCCCTACCAAAAGGAAGCTCATTAGAGGAAAATGTACCAGCTTCCATGAGAATAAGCCAGAGACGGACTAGAGGGTTCTGGGGTTCCTTCCTGTCCTGAGAGCTACTGAGCCTTGGTTTCTTCCCTACAGACAAGCAGTGCAAGTCCAGGTCCTGCCCTCTTGGTAACTCAGGTAAGAGCCTCAAGCTTCTGCAGGGCTCAACTCAAGGGTGAGGGGGCTGCCCTGGGGTGGCACTCCTCTCCTGCATGCACAGCCCTGTGCAAAGGAAAACAACCCCCTTCTAATCCAAACAAGTAAACCCTCTCAAGCAGACCCCTGCGGGGGTGGTGAACCTACCTCAGAGGACATGCATGTATGTATGGGGCAGTGGTCATGCAAGCTTACATACCTGCCCCCCCCCCCAGTCTGGGGCTGCCCCCTCCCTCACAGGAGGCCACTGATGGGGAGAGATCTGGGCTGCACTGGGGGCATGGAGTCCCATGGCCATGCCCACCCACAGTCCTCCCTGGGCCTTCTCCTTCAGCTGCAAAACCCATTGTTTCTATCACTGCCCTCAGGACTCCCTCAGACCACCTTCCAAGGTAGTGGTCAGGCTCTGGGTGCTGGAGACCTGGACTCTCATCCAGACTCTGCCCTAACTCTCTCTGTGACCAATCAAGCCCTCTCTGAGCCTCAGTCTTTCTAACAGTCTAATATGCGTATTAGACTAGATGATCCCCAGGTCCCTCTCAGCTGTGACTCTTTCCTTCCCTTGAATACCTTCTGTACCCAGGCCTGCCTGGGCCTCACTTCTTCAGGTGGGAAGGGGCTTTTCAAGGAACCAAGTGGAATAGGCCAGGAGGCTGCAGCCACTACTCCCCCTTAGGTCCCTCCTCCCCCCCGCCCCAGGGCTCTATGAACAGTGGACAGGAAGGAGCCCTAGACTTCATTTTGTTCCCACCATTCTCCATGACCTATTACCACTCAGAGTTCCAGGCATCCTCACCACAACCCAGTGGTGTAGGCTCTGTCATCGCCCCTGTTCTACAGATGAGGGAACTAAGCCCCAGAGAGGCAACCAGCCCTACACACACAGCTAGTCAGGGCTGGGGTCCAGACAGCCAAACTCTGAACCACCACCTCTCCCTAGACACCATCTCATTTTATTCTTACTGTACAATAAACTATTGGAAGGGGAAAGAAAAGGCAGTATTACCCTTATTATATAGTAAAGGGAGACCCAGAGATAGAAGGGACCTGCCCAAGGGGACAGAATGAGTCAGTGGCAGAGCCAGGGTCAGAATCCAGATCTCCAGCCTCCAACCAGCTTGAGTGCCGGTAATGTCATCTCATGCAGTGGACAAGGTTAGGATTCCCCCCAGTAATCAGGGGTTGTATAGAGGGGCAAAGATAAGCGTCACTAGAGCTCACTCATGTCTTCCCCTTGCTTATCCCACCCTAGAATGGCTCATTTGTGTCGGCAGGAGGCAGGGGCACAGAACCTCCTAGTGACATCTGGAAAGGGGCCTGGGGTCCTTTCATCTGCCTGCTGTCCTCCCTGAATTCTTGCTTTTCATATCTGGCTCTCATTCCACCTTGGGGGTCAGTGTTTCCAGCCCACTCTGCTCATTCCTCTTATCGTGTTTGTGTACCTCATTTTGCACTGAAACCTCTCTCTCTGCCTCTGTTTTTCCTGCAGCCATGGGTCAAGGCCCCTCTTCTTCAGTCTGGTCCCTCCTACTGCCAGTCTGGTTCCTTGTCAGGGGAACCTTTCCATAGAGTCCAGACCTGCCATGATCCATCTGACACTGAACAGCCCCTCCTGGCCATCGCGCTGCCTAAGCCCGACATGGGGATGTCGGCCCCCTATGTGCTTTAAGAGCAGCCAGGATCCATGGTGACCCTCTGCAGAGAACTCTGGGACTTTCTCTGGCAGCTGCCAGGTTTGCTGATGGAGAATTAAGGGAATCTGGGGACTGAGCCTTCCCCAAGGCTTTAAGAGTGAGACACTGAAAGGGGGCAGCGGTCTCTAAGGGCAGGCAACTACTCATTTGGAAACTGATGATGAAACTAGTTTGAGGAGGGATTGGGGAGGACAACACTTGGCCACGGTATTTGCTGGTATTACTCGAATGGCTCACATATGCACCTGGAAAGCTCCCATTCACTCTTCCAGGAAGCTTTCTCTGACCTCCCCCAGCTGGTTGGGCTAGGGCCCCTGCCTCTTTGCTCCCATGGGTCTCTGGCTGCTTCCCTACACCACGTGTCAGTGTTTGTCTCCCATGTCAGTCTGGGAGCTTCCTGAGGGCAGGGACTGGGTCTAAAGCACAGGGGTGGTGCCAGACAGACAACATGTGACAGTCGGAAAGGAACAAACCCCTCATGAATGCCTCACTGCTGCACTGCCCCACCTTGGTCACTTTGAAGCTCTCTGAATGTCAGTATGTGGGAATGATGTGGACGGGCTCCAGCTCCAGAGGGCAGAGAGCAGGACAGACAGCAGAGACAGCATTAGGTCCACTGCCAGGATCTCAGCTGAAGACTCAGTTGAATTCTTGTCAGCAAAGACATAATCTCTGCCATGATCTATTCGTCCTAAGGCTCCTGTCTCTAGAGACACAAACCTGGACCCCTACCTTCCACTGCCACAGGCCCCGAGGTAAAACAGCATTGAAGAGGTGTGAGGCACACACTTTATTGTAAGTTGAGGCTTTGGGGCTGAATCCTCATGTGGCCTCCTCTGGAAACAAGAGAATGAATCCTGGATCCCCTTCCCTGAGTCCTTCCTAACATAGCAGCCACGGAGGAAGAGAAGAGAAGACAAGGAAGTATGGTCATTCTGTTTCTCATGTAACCTGCACTCTCGCCACCAAAAACTCTAACATGCAGCATCGAAATTCAATTCTGCTCCTCCAGGACTGTGTTTCGATCTTGGCCCTTCTTAGAGTGCCCCTTCTGTAGGAATTAGGGCAGTGGCAAGCTATGGCTTCCCTTAAAGTTTAGGGTATATAGACAAGCGATCCCTGTGGTTTGTGAAATCAGCAGTGCTCAGCTTGGAGGGAGAGTGTCGCCAGCTCTTAGGCACAGTGGGGAGAAACTAGGTGGCCTAGCAGAGAGCCAACCACCACCTGGCCTTTCCGTCCCTCTCTGGAGGGGCTGTGGCTGTACCAGACCCCTGGAACTCAGAGGGCCTGCACCAGCACCAGGAGGCTCATGACCAGGGCCATGGAGAAGAAGATGCCCAAGAAGAAGCGATCCATCACACGGGCCAGTCGTTTCCAGTCTTCATGGCGGCGCTGGGCAGCCCTGTGGCTGTGGAAGGTGTCAGCAATGGTAGATACGTGGCGCAGGAGGGCTTCCTGATGGCACAGACACTGTGGCTCACGGCAAGGAACTGCTGGAGGGCGAGCACCTCTGTCAGGAGGCTGGGGACTGGGGGGTGACTCAGGTGGTCTAGACTGCCCACAGGCCTCCCCTCGTTCCCGCACGCACAGGCCTCGTGCCAGGCGTCCCAGCAGGAGGGCCCGAGCCCAGGCTGGCACTGGTCGGGCGCTGGGACCACAGTAGTGCAGGTTCATGATAAGGATGGTGAGCGCTGTGGAGAATGTGACCATGGTCATGGTGGCCATGTAGTACTTCCCTGCAAGAAAGAGAGTAATCTGGGGCCCAAAACAAGAACTCAGGGGGCCTGAGCTTGACCACCGCCTCAACACAAACAAGCACCAGCTCATCCACCCTCAGGCTTTCAGGACCCTCCAGTCCCAATGGATGGAACCAGGAAGGAGGTAAGGGCCAAGATCTCTTCATCCCCTGTTCTTACAAGTGGGTTCTCAGAAGCTACCTGCTCCCTAATTGTTCTCCTCACTGCTGGACCCTGCACTCCCCCACAGACCATGACAGTCACTCTCAAATGGTACGAGCACAATCTGGGGGTAAGTTACTGATCCTTTTGCACAACTGGGATAACAGAACATACCTCATAGATGTGTCGTGATGCCTCTCTGAGTTAATAAAAAAAAAAAAAATGGCACGTGCTTAGGAGAGGGCCTGGCAAACAGCCAGAACTCAACGCATTTTGCCTGCTAGGACACGTGAGGGGTGGGGTGTCCCTCCTCTCCCCTCCATCTCCGAATGAGGCACGCTCCCAGGATGCTCCCTCCTCCCGCACCGACCTGGGGTTGCTGCGGGGGGCCGGTCCCTACCCTACCCCGCCCCGCCCCGCCCCGGCCCTGTGGAGACCCGCGAGCCTGGGCCGGGAGACCATCTCTGGGAGGCGGAGGCTCTCTCTTCCCGCCCCTGCCCCCCAGCACCGCCCCCTCGCGGCTCACCGATGAGCGGCACGCTCTCCGCCGGCGGCATGCTCTCGGCCAGGAGCAGCTGGAAGACGGTGAGCGCCAGCAGCACTGTGACGCCGAGCGACACTTTCTCGCCCGAGTCCGCCGGCAGGTGGAAGGCCAGCGGCGCGAGCAGCGAGATGAGCACGCAGGGCAGCAGCAGGTTGCACACGTAGGCGGCGGCGCGCCGGCGCAGCAGCAGCGTGAAGGTCACGTCGGGGTAGGGCTCCGAGCAGCAGCCGTAGGTGAGCACGCGCCGCCGCGCCGGCATGCCCAGCACGCGCCACTCCACGTTCTCCACGAAGTCGGCCAGGCTGGCGGCGGTGCCGCGTGGACGCACGTCCAGCTGGTGCCCGCCGTGCGTCCAGGAGCCGAACGTCAGGCCGCAGCGCTGCGCGTCGAACGGGAAGGCCGACACGTCCACGCGGCACGAGCTGCGCGTGATGGCCGGCGCGTCCCAGCGCACGTCTCCGTCGTGCCGCAGGACAACGTTGGTGCTGGCGGAGGCCGGCGGCTGCGCGTCCGCCCTGCGGGGCAGGCAAGGTGGGACTCCCTGAGGCGGCAGCGCGCGCGGAGCCTGCGGGGCCGCGCAGAGGACAGAGCGGGTGGCAGAGAGGCACCTGCGTGCCTTTGGAGGCTTAGAAGGGGTGGCGCCTGCAGGGCCGAAAGGAGACACAGATCTAGGCCCGGGCAGTGTGAAAACACATCTGCAAGAGCCGGCGCCCGGCTGCATGGTGTCATCTGAGAATCTCCTGGAGGGCCCCCGGGGAAAACATGCAGAGCTCTATGTTGTCTAGGGAACACTGAACTGCTCTAGGTGGCATCAAGGAGGGCTCCAGAGGGATATGCCCTGGAGGAAGTCCCTAGGTAGGCCCTCGGGGAGTCCTGAGAGACTTGGAGCAGGCCTGAGAGGGTGGAGAATGCCGTCAGGGGCACTTGTGTCCCAGAACCCTCTCTGTGAGGGGCACGGAACTGGCCCTGGACTACACAGTGGGTTCCCGGGAGACATTCAGCCTGCGTTGGCTTGGGACAGACTAAAGAAGGGGTGTCCTGGAGGGGCTGTGAGCTCCTGGCAGTTTAGGAGGGTCCTGGGGGAAAAGCTTCCAGGTTAGGTTTGTGGGGGGGGGAGGAGGGGGAATCAGTGGATACCTAGAGCCTGGGGCAACAGTGGGGAGGGGTTATGATAGGGGAGGGGCCCAGGAAGACAGTACTTGTTGTAGAGTACGATGTCTGGTCGCCACACGAGACTGCTGGGGATGCGGATAGCGTCAAGGCCACCGTAGGCATCCGGGTCCCATCGTAGGTAGGCATCTGTCCACTCCTGTCGAATCCACAGGTACAGGGTCAGCACCTGGTTCCGCTCATCCTAGTGGGGGGCAGGGAGTGGGCACAGATGTGGACACACTATATGCACACCCTTCCCTGTGTGTACGCACTCACCTACAGAGCTCTGAAGGGCACCCACAAAACCAGCTGACTCACAGTCCAGTTACCCAGGCCTGACCTTGCTATGGGACCTTGGCAGTTCATTTTCTTCTTTAGCCCTCAGTTTCCTTAGTAGTTACATGGGTGATAATCCCTGCCAGGCAGGAATGCAAGTGTGCAAAATGTTGAGCACACTGTGGGCACCCAACAGTCAGTAGCTGTTATTATTGTTGTTGTTAATATTAACATTTATAGAAAAGAATTGTTTGGAGAATAATCCCAGTCTCTCACTCCTCCCCTCCCCCCATGCCAGTTACTTGACACTACCACCACAACACACCATGTCGATGATCTGGGACAATGTCACCTCCAGGGTCACATTCAGAGCCTGGTCTGTGTCTGCCACGGGTCTCAGGGCACTTGTGTAGTTGGCAAAGAGATCACGGAAGAGTTTGTGAGCCAGCTTGCCCTCGGCACCCAAGCACTCTGGGGGACCAGGAAGAAGGGTTGTCCATCTGAGACCCTTGTCCAGGGGCCTCTGTTCACACACCCTCCATCTGCCCATGGCTGGGGCCCTGTCACCTGGTCTGCTGTCTCATGGCTACCTACTTGGCCCTCCTGAGGTCTGCTCTGTCCATCTAGCTGTCTAGACAGACCTGTCTCCTGAGGTCTGCTCTGTCCCTCCTCCCTGGACTGCCTCCGTGGAAGAGCGAGGTGGAGGCCGAGGAGTGAATTGATACTGTCTTCAGGAGCAAGGCTGACAGGTTTCTTCCCCACCCTTTCCCCTCCTAGGGACCTGGGTTCTGCCCACCCTACTGCGAATGCCAGAGGGGCCCAAATAGGCGACAGGAGTCCCGCCCCTCACCCAGGTGTTGTGAGCCCCTTTGCTACCACCCCCTACTTCTCTCTAACCTATTTCCACTTATCCAGCTGCACGTCTATGGATTTTTTCAAAGCTTCTGATGCAATGGGCCATTCTGTCCTGAAAACACTCTCCTCCCTAGACTTCCGTGACACACATTGTTTTCAGGCCCGGACTCACATATTGTTCCCCAGAAGCCTGTCATTGTCCTTTTCTTTTTAGCCCGAATTTTTCTCCCGAGCTCCAGACCCATAAACACAACAGTTCACTCCTGAATGTCCTATTGGCACCTTAAACTCTGTAGGTCCAAAATAGGAACTAATTTCCTACCCCCATGCTCTGAAACCCTGTTCCTTGTTCTGTGGTCCCTCTCAGCAAACAGCACCCAACCCCCCGTGATGTCAGCCAGAAATCTGGGAGTTATCCTTCCTTTCTGCTGCCTCCCTCTGCACCCCTGCCCGTACCTAGGTCCTATCAGCCATCCTTTGAATGTCTGGTCGCCCCTGCAGCTTGAGTGGACCCAGCAGCAGCCTCCTCACGGCTCCTGCTGCTGGTGCAGCCTCTTTAACCCTCCCCCACATTTCTGAGATCAGGCTTTAAACATTCAAGTCTGACCAAGCCAGTAGCTGCTTAAAACTATTCAATGGCTCCCCATTGCCTGCTAGATAAAGTCCAAACTCTGCCTGGCATTCAACGTCCTTCATAATCTGCCCCACCCTCACCCCCCTGGCTTGTCCATCACTGCTCCCACCGGAGCCAGGCAGGTCTCCTGTCTTTCTCTTCAGCACCTCCATCCTCCATGCTACCCAGATAGAGTGCTGGTTTCCAGCACAGTAGTAAAGAGAAATCGGATGTGGACAGAGATCTGGGGAAGAAGGGTACAGCTGCAGGGCCCGGAGACGCAGGGCTGGTTTACTACACATCGCACCTGGAAACAGTGAGAACAGAAACAGAAGGCCCAGGCTGGAGACAGAGAAGACGAGGCTGAAGTGGTGGCTCCTGGGCCCCATGCTCCTGCGACAGCAAGACTTAGGGCGGGTCCCCGGGTGTGAGTCTTGGGACCCGACTGAGGGCAGCATCAGGCTGTGCTGGCAAGGATGATACCTGGAAGTCAGAAGTAAGACAGATCTCTGCTGAGGAGCCCTGTGGCCCTTCTAGTTTTCTGACCCTCCTGTTTGTACTTGCCCTTGGGTTTTAGTACTTGATCTTGGCATCTGCTCATTCTCCTCCGCCGGTCCTTGCCTCTTCTAGCCTCTGTCCCTGCCCTTTTCTATACTCTCCCCACCCCCCCGCCCCTCTTACCTCCCGCTCAGCCTCTCTATCTCCATTTCCTTGTGTCTCTTCCTCTGGAACTCTTTCTTGCTCTCTGCCTCTTTGACTTTGGTCTTCCTCCTTCCACTCTCTCTTCCTTTCGCCTTCTATTTCAACCCCCTAACTTCCTTTCTCTGTCCCCCATACCTCGACTCCAGATGAGCCTGGCACACTCTCAGCAGGACAGGGGCAGGGACTCTTCACCAGCCCTGAGCCCTCTGAGGCATAGGGCTGCAGGCCCCTCCCCTTCGCCCTTTTCATTAGCTTATTTACAGGGTTGGGACACCTGTGCCCATGGGAACAGAGCAACTGAAGCTGGCACCTCAGGTTACTGGGACCTGAATTATTCAAATCATAATGCAGCACCCAGGCTCAGCTCAAACGCAGCCTGGGGTGTTGGAGAGCAGAGATGCTGGGGTCAGGATCTGCAAAGACTGGGCTTAAGGGTGTGAGGGGTCAGAGCCATGGGTGGTGTTGTCCTCCTAGCTCTGCCACCATAGCTGGATTCTCTTTTTTAAGATTTTATTTATTTTTCAGAGAGAGAGGTGGCACAAGCAGGAGGGAGAGGCAGGCTCCTTGTTGAGCAAGGAGCCCAATGCAGGACTCGATCTCAGGACCCTGGGGTCATGACCTGAGCCAAAAGCAGACACTAACCGACTGAGCTACCCAGACGTCCCCATTGCTGAATTCTTGAGGCTCCCTTTATTTTAATTTTTTAATTTAAATGCAGTTATTTAACATATAGTATATCATTAGTTGCAGAGGTAGAGAGTAGTGATTCATCAGCTGTGTATAACACCTAGTGCTCATCACATCACATGCCCTCCTTAATGCCCATCACCCAGTTACTCTATCCCCCCACCCAGCTGGAGGCTCCCTTTAGACTGACAGCTCTGCCTCCAGTGAGAGATGGAGCACATCGGTCCAGGCTGGGCACTCTGTGCCAAGCAAGCTCTCTCCTCCTGGGGGGAATGGGACTGAGCCTTAGCTAAGTCTGTGGCTCCAGGTGGCCCCACAAAGCCGGAGATGCAGCTTACATCCTCATCTCCAGCTCCCTACAGCCATCCCGATCCAAGTCTCCATGTTCTCTCTATGCCCCAACACCGTAGGTGACATTGGGTAGCAGGAAAAACACAGGCTTTAGAGTCACCTTCAGCTCTGTCTTACGAGCAGTTTGACTTGTGCAAGATACTGAAACTCTCTGGGTTTGTTTTCTCATACAGGATAATGTGATTAACAGTCCTCACTTCAGAAGTTATAAGTATTAAATGAGACAAGCAATAACACAAGGCAAGTGCCTAGAACATTGCCTGATGCACAGCAGTTAACAAAAAGCATTTATACTATAATCCCAGTGAATTAGTTAGAATATTCTATCTTCAGGAGCACACCCTTAGATTCACAAGCCCCTAGCCCCAGGCAACCACTATTCCACTTTCTCTCTCCATGATTTTGACTTAATAGCTCATGTGAGTGGAATCACATATTCATCATTAAAAAAAAAAAAAAAGATTTTATTTATGAGGGAAACAGCACGAGCAGGGGGAAAAGGGGCAGAGGCTGAGAGAGAAGCAGACTCCCTGCTGAACCACGAGCCCAACGTAGGGCTCAATCCCAGAACCCTGGGATGATGACCTGAATTGAAGGCAGATGTTAATTTACTAAGCCACCCAGGCACCCCTAAATCACGTATTTGTCTTTTTGAGATTAGCTGATTTCACTTTGCATAATAATAGCCTCAAGATTCATCCATTTTTTACATGTCAGAACTTCCTTATTTTAAGGCTGTATATATTTTATTGTAAGTATATACTGCATTTTGCTTATCCATTCATTCCCTGAGGAATACTTAGGTTGCTTCCACATTTTAGCTAGTGTGAATAATACTGCTGCGTAAGGAAGTAGAAATATTTCTTCAAGACTTTGCTTTCAGTTCTTTTGGATTATATACTCAGAAATGGAATTGCTAGGTCATACGGTAATTCTATTTTTTATTTTTTTAATTTTTAATTAAAAATTAAAAAATTAAAAATTATTTTTAATTTGAGTAATCACCACACTACTTTCTACAGTGGCTATAATATTTTTTCCCCACCAACAGGGTTCAGTGGTTCCCATTTCTCCACATCCTCACCAACATCTGTTACTTTATTTTGTTTTGTTTTGTTTTTATACTAGCCATCCTAATGGGCACAAAGTCATATCTCACTGTATTTGATTTACATTCCCCTAATTAGTGGTTAAGCATCATATCATGTGTTCATTGGCCATTTGTATGTCTTCTTTGGAGAAATGTCTTTTCAAGTCCTTTGTCCATTTATTAAATTGGGTTTTGTTGTTGTGTTCTAGGAGTTCTTTTTGTATTCAGCATATCAATCCCTTATGAGGTGTGTAATTTGCAGATGTTTTCTTCCATTCTGTGGGTTGCTTTTTTTCTCAGTTGATTTATTTTTTTGGTGAACAAAATTTTAAATATTTTATAAAGCTTAATTTGTCTATATATATTATTTTTTTGCCTGCACTTTGAATTCATATCCAATAAATCATTGCCATATCCAATGTTGCAAAGTTTTTGCCCTATATTTTCTTCTAAGAGTTTTATAGTTTCAGTTCTTACATTTAATAAGTCTTTGATCCATCTTTAATTTTTGTGCATGGTGTTTACATAAAGGTCCAAGTTCATTTCTTTGCATGTGGATATCCAGTTTTCCTAGCATCATTTGTTGAAAAGACTGTCCTTTCTCCCATTGAATGGTCTTGGCACCCTTATCAAAAATCATTTGACCATATATGTGAGGGTTTATTCCTGGGCTCTCTGTTTTAGTCCATTAGTCTATATGTCTGTTTTTATGCCCATACCACACTGGTTTGTTTTTTTTTTAAGGATTTATGCATTTTTTTGACAGAGAGAGAGAGAGATCATAGGTAGGCAGAGAGGTGGGCAGAGAGAGAGGGGGAAGTAGGCTCCCCGCTGAGCAGAGAGCCTGATGCAGGGCTCAATCCCAGGACCCTGAGATCATGACCTGAGCTGAAGGCAGGGGCCTAACCCACTGAGCCACCCAGGTGCCCCAGCACTGTTTTGATTACTATAGCCTTGCATTAAGTTTTAAAGTCAGGAAATGTGAGTCCTCCAGCTTTGTTCTTTTAGACAGGACTGTTTTGGTTATTAGAGTCCCTTGAGATTCCTTATGAATTTTAGTTTGGATTTTTATATTTCTGGGGGAAAAAAAGCCACTGAGATTTGGAGATGGATTGCATTACAGCTATAGATCACTTTGGTTAGTATGGACATTTTAAGTTTTCCATTCCACGAATGTGAGATGTCTTTCCATTTGTGTCTTAATTTCTTTTACGCAGTGTTACAGTGTATAGAATGCAGCTGATTTTTGCATGTTGATTTTGTGTACTGCTACTTTGAATTCATCTATTAGTTCTAACAGTGTTGTTGTTGAACTGTGTCATTATTGTCGTCATTGTTTGGTGTAATCTTTAGGGTTTTCTACATATAAGATCATATCATCTGCAAACAGCTTTTACTTTTTCCTTTCCCATTTGGATATCTTTTATTTGTCTTTTTTTCCTAATCGCTCTGGCTAGAACTTCCAATATTATGTTGAATATAAGTGGTGAAAGTAGATATCCTTATCTTTTTCCTGATCTTAGAGGAAAAGCTTTCATTCTTTCACCATTGAGTATGATGTTTGTTGTGGGTTTTCATATACGGCTTTTATTTATTTTTAAAGATTTATTTGAGAGAAAGCGGGGGAGAGAGAGAGAGAGAAAGTGGGAGCAATGGGAGGGGTAGAGGGAGAAGGAGAGAAAATCCTCAAGCAGACTCCCTGGCAAGTGCACAGCCTGACACAGGGCTCAATTCCAAGACCCTGAGATCATGACCTGAGCTGAAACAAAGAGTTGGACACTTAACTGACTGAGCCACCCAGGCGCCCCTATATATGGCTTTTATTATGTTAAGGTAGCTTCCTTCTATTCCTAGTTTGTTAAGTGTCTTTATCATGAAAGAATATTGAATTCTGTCAAATACTTTTTCTGTATAAATTAAGATGATCATGTGCTTCCCCCCCATTCTGTTAATGTGGTATATTACATTGATTGATTTTCATATGTTGAACCATCCTTGCATTTCAGAAATAAATCCCACTTGGTCCTGGTGTGTAATCCTTTTGCTATGCTGCTGAATTAAATTTGCTGGTATTCTGTTGAGGATTTATGCATCAATGTTCATGTAAGATACTGGTCTGTAGTTTTCTTGTAGTGTCTTTGTCCAGCTTTGTAATAAGGGTGATTGTATACATTAAATGGGTAATTGTAGGTAGGGGTGCCTGGCTGGCTCAGTTGGTACAGCATGAGAGCTTGATCTCAGTGTTGTAAGTTTGAGCCTCACACTGGGTGTAGAGATTACTTAAAAATAAAATCTTTAAATGGGTAATTGTATGGTATGTGTATGTGAATTATATCTCAATAAAGCTGTTGCCAAAAATATCATACTCCATCATGAATGAGAACAAGCTGAAACAAGAAAACAACCACAGAAACAAGAGCAATCACAAATATTGAACATTTTAATAATAATTTGAATAGTATATTTTAGGTATTGCTCTAAGCACTGTAACATACATTAATTCATAATTCTCACAACACCCTATAAAGTAAATACTATTATCTGTTCCATTTTATAAATGAGGTAACTTAGGCACAGGAATAACTTATTCAAGATTCCATAATATATACCAATGGACTCAGGATTTAA